CGTCGAATCTGAATCACTTGAAAAAAAACACGGGGGTGCTTAACTTTTTTCCAGGTGTATATGTTGTTATAGTTCATTACCTCTTAACATTTACATATAGTAGACAATGTTTCATCCTTGTTCATAGCTTCTTAGCATGTCCAAATAGTCTATAAAGATTAGGTCTGGTTAGTTACTTCCGTATGAACCATTAGAAGATAGGGTTTAGACATAATTGTTTATCCCTAATGTGTCACATATTGACAATAATATTTTGTTATAGTACATTACTTCTTAGCATGTAAGTATTCTAGATAAGTTTTCATTCTAGTTCTTTACTCCTTCACGTGTCTACATAGACTATAATGATTAGATATGGTTAATTACTATTTCATGTACCATTAGAAAATAGGGCTTAAACAATCATTTACTCTTTACTATGTCACCTGTAGTCAACGTTTAGATGTAGCTACTTACTCAGTCGTATGTACTCCTACTGGATAATGTTTGATCTTCTTTCCTTACTCCTTAACATATATGTGTAGAAGATAGCATTCAGACATAGTTCTGGGCCTATTCCATTTGAATGTGTTCATAACCTATCATGTTCTGGGAGCACTACACATCATTGCAGCAGTTTTCTCAACATGACCTCGTTCCACTTGTGGATAGATTTTTCACCCACTGGTCTTCTGTTGTTCTGCTTTCTCATGTTCCTCCTCCTCTTGTTGCCTTGCCAAACCCCTCTTTGAACTATCTCTATTCTGGTTTCCTGTGTCTGATTCCTAAGTCCTGGCTGTCTATGCCCTTTGTCTGGTTTGGTCCCATCTTTTTTTTTATTATGCATGTTCTCCTGTCCATCTCCTCCCTTAGTTCCTTGCTAAGTTTTGGGATACTCCTTAAATGGTCTCTTTGGTAGCCACTCACAGGCTACCCCCAACCTTGTTTCTATTACTCCACCTCTTTGGGTCTAAGCCCTAACTTCTCCTTCCCAACTTTCCATCCCTTCTGATCCATCCTCACACACATTGCTCTTTCCTCAGGATATGACATCCCTTTATCATTATGTGTGGGATTAGCCAGTAGCTGTCCCTTTGTCCCACTCCTGTCACCTTTCTGCCTCTTCTGTGTGTTGTCAAATGGGACATACTTATCACCTTGGTCTTGTTGTCACCATTTCCCTTTGACTTCATTACATTGTAACATATTCCTCCTCTTTCACAGGACTGTTCTCCCTTGATCTGTAAGTCTCTTTTATCTCATGTTTTTGGGCAGCATTTCCTCTACCTTTGACAAATCCTAATATTACAGTTTTTTTTGTTCTCTGCCTCCTTCCTCCCCTCTTTCATTCCATCCTTAGATACTGCCACCCTTTTTACTTATTGTTTGATTGGATCATCATTGTGGTTCTCCATGATCTTACTGCCATCCCTAGCAAACCTCTACCAAATCACATTAGTCCTCTTCCTACTTGCCTGTGATTGCTGTTCTTCACATATCTATGCTCTTATTTCATCCTGCTTTCTCATTACTACTCTTCCCTTCTCCTTTGTCCTGGCTGGTATTTTCTTCCCTGTTATTACATGGCAGGGGAAAATGTTCACTCCTTTTCTTCCATATCTCCTCCTCAATTTCTAATTTTGGTGTAAATTATTTTCTAGACAGTGGCTCTTGTCCTGTCCGGGCCACTCAATGTTTCCACACACTCTTTCTTGTTGTCCCTCTCACTGTACTTTTTTTATCTGGCACACCTCCTATATACAGGTCCTCTCCCCTTACCTCATTGCAGATTGGATCTGCCAGCTCATATATTTTGTATATGCCTCTCTGAAGGCTGATTTTTGTATACTCTCTCAAGTCTTCTCTCTTCAGCTCCCCCCCCCCCCCCTCCTTTTCGGGATAGGCATGTAGACTACACCACAGTCATTTGTTTCACATCAAACTATCTCCACCATTTGGCTGTCTCATCTCCAACAGCATACAGACTTCCACCAATGATCATTTTTTAATTCACCCTGCATCTGTAATGGGTGTGAGTATTCATTTACTTCTTCCTCACCTTTCTTTTACATTTGGATCCTGCTATGTGGCTAGTGGTGCTTTACAGGGTATACTTACCCAAAATTCTGCATCAGGCCAAGATAATGGAAAGAACTCACACCATATACCTTGGCTCAATCAGTGCCCACTGTGAAATAGTGTGTTCTGCAAGACCGTTGGAGTTCTACTATGATATTTCTACAGTCCAATTTATACTATACCCATTCCATGGACTATCGTGGAAAAAGTCAGGACCAGAGTTATGCATCTGCATGCTTCTCTGGCTAGAGCTTGCTGGCTTTTATGGTTACCCATTGCACTGTTTCAAGAAAAAGACCTTTCTGGACTGAACGATTGATAGGGATCTCCACACATTCTCTGTGTCTTCCCCATATCAATTTTCCACCCTCTTTGAGTAGAGCATGGAATACCCACAGTCACTTACAAGCTCCCAGCTGCTGGAATGGTGGACCATGGAGAATCTTCACTAACTTGTATCTGAAAGTGGGTGCTAAAACTCTGAGAAGTGGGGCAGGGTTTTTTTCTGAAGAGTAGTACAGACAACATCAACCAGGCTAGATACATTACAATCTTCAAGTGGATTTCAGACATATATCTTGCCTACTCTCTATTCTCCTTTAACTATTCCTGCAAGGACATGATCTCCCTAATTATGCTTGCAAAGTTAATGATATTTAGTAACTCTCTTTTACAGGCTCAGTTGATTTGACCTAAAAATTGATTCTAAATTGACCTTTAGAGTTTCCATACTATAACTTCTAATATATTGTGTGTATCTTCAAGAAATTTTGTAAGCTTTCAATAATCATAGAGAGTCATTTGTAGACAAAAAATCACATTTTTTTTAAACATCAGAGAGAACCATTGGCAATTTCTGAAAAAGAGGATGTGGCAAGTAGTTGTGGCAAAAGGAGTCTGATTTTTTATTTTATGGCTCTGTAACCAAATAAGATTGAAGGCTATAAAAATTATGCTTTGCCTGAGTGATGACAACATTATAATGAGTAATTTATATTAAATTTTGTATTTCTTGGAGGGGTAGTAAATAAATTAGAGAAGAGGGGATACCTAGAGAGCAGATGTCACAATTCTCATGCTATGGTAAATTGAGGATTTTTTTAATATTGCCTTATAAAACTAAGAACTTAAAACCTACATAATATTAAAATTTGGTTTATTGCTACTTTTTTATGCCAAGTTTGTTCGTATACCATGATAAGAAAGTAGATTAATTAAATTTTGAATGTAACTCATTAAAATCTCATAATGTGCAGAAAAGGAGGCTCTTAGTGAGAGAGTTAAGATCCAGTTGTGATGTATTGTATTTCAACCTTACTCCCACAGCTAGCAATGGGCTCATAGAGCCTGATGGTTGAGTGGTGGTTTCATAAGTATCTTTAAATTGGGTTCACAGCAGTGCCCTCCTACAACAACTGGTGCGGACCCTTAGTGCCTGATGGTTTAGGAGCTATGCACAGATACTTTTCACATGTGACCTTCTCACACAGCTGGTATAGACCCATAGATACTGATGGTTGAGAAGATGAACATACTTGGTACAATATGAATGAGCCCCAACTTTACTATTTAAATATTGACCTATTCTGTCTATCCTTGTGACATATCTTAATAATTGGGCTTCTCACCTCTCCCTGTCATTTAGTCGGGTGAAGAGTATACCCTGATTGAGATGAGATGCATTTGCCAACAAGTGTACCACCAGGGAGCTCCTAATATAGGGCTCTTGAAAGGAGGCTCATTTAAGTAATTTCTGCACCAGTGTTTCCACCACTAAAATGGGATTTTAGCTGGTCTGTGTACAGAAGTCAGTCAGTGTTTTAAAAGTTAATATTTTCTTTAACATTACCACCTTTTCTCCTCATTTTTCTGATGCACTTTTATTGATTCCTCATCAAAGAATGAGGATTTTCACGCGTGAATGTAGAGGGAGCATTTGTGCAAGGAGGTGTGTTGCACTCCTGTTGCTGGAAGGTTTTGCTGTTTGATACATCCTCATGCAGTAGTTCAAATTCACAGGTTCGTACATTAATTTTAGGTGGGAGTTTCACAAGGCTGGTGGCTTGCAAATCTCTAAGGTAGAATAACATGACTCCATGAGGAAAATAGCTGTTCTGTGTTCAGAGGTATCTATCGAAAATACACTTGCATCTAAGGAAAATGTTAAATTGTGAGCTCAAGATTCAGTTATTTGTAGTAAATTTTTACATTTAGTTCTTGAATAATTAATGTATGAATATGTTAACAGGCATTGTTCATGGCTCTTGGACTGAATGAAAATGACTTCAGGTTTGGGATGACCAAAGTCTTTTTCAGACCTGGCAAGTTTTCAGAGTTTGATCAGATAATGAAATCAGATCCAGAGAACCTGGCCTTTTTAGTGAAGAAAGTGAAAAAGTGGCTTATAGCCTCACGCTGGAAGAAAACACAGTGGTGTGTGTTATCAGTCATCAAATGTATGTAGTTCAAAATATTTTTGGAAAACTATTTTGTATTTTGTTTCTTACATTATTGTGATGAGAGAGAGAGAGACAGGGTTCCTACATATTCTTGAAATTGGGGAACGTTTGGGATTCAATGTTAACACTAAATGGCAATCAAAGTCATATCATATTGGGATTACGCTCAAGTTTAAGTTGAGTGTGATAGCAGAATACTTTGAATATAAATTTAATTGTTAACATTTTTACCAAAAGCCTTGTAATAATACTGTGGGTATAGCACAAGTTTTTCTATTGAAAGCACCCACAAGCTACAATATATTAACTTGTTTCAAAAATTATGGCATTAAACAATTTCCTGAAGTTTGCCTAACATGCTATTCATACTTCTTAATCTGTAATGTTTGTAACTAAATCTTTCTCAGTTGTCAAGGCTATAAAATAGAACTTGATGCATCACAAGCATTTTTAAGTAAACAAACTGACACTGCAAGAACACAGTCACAAAATGACTCGTATCTTGTGCTTGAATTGGCAAGAAAATAGTAATTTGTACAAATCATTTGTTCATAAAAATTTGAAAATGTTAAATGTATATTTGTTCTTCCTTTCATGGGATTAATGTATATCAATGAGCATTTTCTAAGAGCAGCACTTGACAAAAACTGTGAAAATCTCTAATGTACATAGTATATTTTGCATTGTTATTATCACATTTCCTGTCATATGTAAACCACAAAATCACATTTACTATCAACTTATTTCACAGATAGTTATATGTTTTCCACTTATGACAGGACATATATCAGATACGGTACTTACCTCCTCTCACAAGATTAGCTATTCTCGTTCATTGCTGCCCTCCATATATGAACTTTTCATAATGCATGCCAAAAGCCTTGCACACATCCCTCTGTTGGAAATATCATGTTCCAACATGTCTCTCATGCAAATCATCATGCGTCATCCCATAACCAATAGTAGCATGACATGCTCACGTGACTCCCTCTACACTTCTCGTTCAAGTTCAGACGTTTTTTGGGTGGAGGGGCTAGTGCTACCGTGTGACAACAGAACATTTTTCCCCACCAAAAGTCACAGAAACTATCGAGCCCACCAGCAGTCCACCCTCACGTCCTTTGTCGCCTATTTGTTTCAGTCAGAGTTTCATATCCTCCATATTCCTGTCTACTGTTCTTCATCCTCCCAACCCTTACTCATTCCTACTAGTTGGGGTACTTCTTTCTGTCGATTTCCTCAATGACGAAACATCTGTCGCCAACAGTACCTGTGACTACCCTGTGGATTCAGGGCCATTAGGAGCTCGACTTTTTTCCTCACTGGTGCCCCTTCATTGATGATCAATGGGTGATACGGGTTCTGTCAGAAGGATTCGTTCTCCAGTTTCTTTCCCCTCTTCCTCTTTACCCCATTTCCTTTCCTCCGGATCCTCCTGCATCTGACATCATACCCACCAACTCCTTTCTGTGGCAGCTCAAGCAGGTTGATTGATCAAACTGGAGAAGTCATTCCTTTGACCCACACACTACCTGGTCCATCTAGGGGTTATTTCAACACTAATATCAGTCATGCCATGCCTTCTCCTTTACTCGGTCCATGGAACTCTTAGTTCACTGAGCCCTCTTAATTTAGTCATTTACTGCTCACGAGGTTCTATCACTTTTGAGGATGTGGTCCTCCATGACTGCACTTATCCCTCTTGGTGATGCACAAATGGGATCCCTGCAATGGGCTCTTCATGACCAATGGAACCTAGCTTGAGGCTTGAGATTTTCTTTCCACCATCATCCTCTTTCCCTGCGAGACAATCTGCATTGGTGGCTGGACAAAGCTCATACATCAATGGGTATGGGTTCTCCCCCATGTCTGAATCTACTTTTGTTCATGGATGCATTCCTTCCAGGTTTGAGAACATGGATCAATCCTCAGGAAGCTTTAGGCCAATGGTCTGCGGATGCATCTGTCTTGCATATAAGTGTTCTCAAACTTCTGGTAGTATCACAGGCTTTACATCACTTCCTTCTTCTCATCTGTCATTGTCTGGTGATGGTTCATTTGGACAACTCTATGGTGATGACATATATCAGTCACCAAGGGAGCACCCAGTCCAAAGACCTCTGTTTTTAGAAGTTAGAGTTCTTATACTGGACCCATGCATGTCACAGTCGTCTTATCACATGTCATGTGCCTGGTGCTTTCAATCTCATCGCAGATCGTCTTTTGCAACCAGACTGGATTTATCCTACAGAATGGGCATTGGATTCTCTCATTTTCCAGGACCTTTGCTATCACTGGGGGTCTCCCCAATTAGATGCTTTTGTCATGAGCCTCAATTCCAAGTTGCCTCTCTTTTTGTCTCCTATACTGCATCCCCATGCCTTGATGGTCGATGCTTTCAGCAGGGATTAATCACACATATACCTGTATGTGTACCCTCCAATCCAGTTGTTGCATTGGGTCATTTTTCGGTCCATTCCACTACTTGCAGAGTCTTCTGGATAGCACCCTTTTGGCTGTCACAACCTTGATTTCCCAGGTTACAACATCTGCTCCTGACACAACCAGTTCCTCTTCCACTTTCTCCCTACCTTCTTCATTAGAGGATTTCCAGCTGACAAGCCTTTTGAAGCTCATGTTACGGAATTCTCACCTGGCTGTTCGATCGTGGTTTTTCAGTCTCCTCGCTTTCAGGACATCAGACAGCCCTATTTCATGCCTTACATTTTTCCCAAATCCATAAGGTTTTCCTTTCTCTTGTTCTTACTGAGCACATGTGTTCCTTAAGGATTCAGTGGCTGCCGAGGCATCCTGCCCTTCTGACTTGGGACATTAATTTGGTCCTTCATGACCTCACTTTACCTCCATTTGTCCCACTTTCTTGTGCTCTTTGTTTCATGTGCTCCTTAAAACTTGTTTCCTTCTTCTGTTGGTCTGTGGTCATCGACAGTCAGATCTGTTTGACATAGACTTATCACATACTCTTTATCACCCTACTTATCTTCTTCTTCTTTATCTCAATGTTTCCTTCTTTCCTAAAATATTGGAAGCTCGGGAAGGTTTTTCATCCTTTTCTCCTATTTCCCAGACTTCAGTGTGACTTCAACTGGTCAGTTTTCTTCATTTTCGTTTTTTTTCAGGGGTCTTTTCTCTCTCTTTTTATCAGGGATCCCACTCCATGGTGGTGCTTGTCCAGATATTCTTTAACTCTACACCTGCACTGTCCACCATGTATCCTCATGTTTTCTATGCCATGGCTACACACACTCACCATAGAGATGGGGTGTTCCACAAGATCACTTGTAGGTGAATAACCTCGTGATGTCAATGTTTCATAACATGCCCGTTCCAGACCGTACCACCCATGGACTGCATTGATAAAGTAGAAGGGGATTTCTGCCCATTCCTGCCATGCTTCGTGTGAATAACCAGGTATGGTGTGCTTTTCAAAATAGGTCACTCATTGCACTGTCTCTGGTGGTGACATTCCTCCACGCTCTCCACCTCATAGTCATCCTCCTTTCTTCGAGTGGAGTATGCCACTTTCAGTTCCAAGCTCCTGGGGTGGTGAACCATGGAGGCACCCTCCTGAATAAGTTCCCCAGACCATTCAGTTGAGAGTAGAGCAGTGGTGTTCTGCTGGTGCAGATGCGATGTGGCTTCCTGAAATGTTGAGCTCTTGCCTTGCTGGTTGATGTGGCCTCCTGATCATGTTACACACCAACACTAAAGTTGAGCCCTCTCCTTCCAGGATGATATGGCCTCCCACTACCATTTACACAACCAATGGAGTTAGCCATCGCCTTCTAGTTGACATGGCCTCCTACTCACATTTACACACATAATGGAATTGAGCTATCACCTTCTAGGTTGACGTAGTCTCCTACTACTATTTACAAAACTATGGGAGTAGAGCCATCACTTTGTGAGATTATGCTACCTCCCACTTCCCTTTTCACAGGAGTTAAGCCATCCCCTTGTAGGATGATGTGGTCTCCTGATCCACTTTCAATTCACACTGGAGTTAAGCCATCACACTTGCAGTTCACACTTTGATTGGGTGCCCTCATCCTACCTTCATGCGAATGTTGGTTCCCAGGGTTGAGTTTTGGATTAGAGTAAACCAATCAACATAAGTCCTCCCACAGAGGCAGGTTGTCTCTCTTCCTCCCTCAATTACTCTGTCTGTATCTTTCGTCACTGCATAGTTAGTGGGATGGTTCCGATGCTCTCCTGGACTCTCCCTCATTCTTTTTCTGGGGATGTTTTGTCTTTGGAGGGTACTGGCCTATGCCATGTTTGGGGGAGTTGATTCAATTTGATGGACAACCTGTCTCTGTGGCATACTCAGATATTGTTGCGAGTCTTAAAACCCCGATTTTTGGGGTTTGAGGTGAAAATGGTATGATCCTCAGCCTACCCTGGATAGATATTGGTGTTCTGCAGGAAGGTTTTGGGTGTAGTTGACTTACCGAGTACGGTCCGATGCTCCCTAGTCACTCTATACCTTACATTTCCACCCTTTTGCATGTCACACTGTACACAAGGGTGAAGAGCATACCTGGCTCAGAAGTAGTGTGGTTCCCCTCTTCTGATCTCTATCTCTCAGGTTCAAAGGTATCCTTCGGTCACTTTCGTGGGTGCTTCTTTTGTTCTCTCCTCCTTTTCAATGTGGGAGTCTAGCTAATCTTGTGAGAGGAGGTAAGTATATTTTTATGAACTGAAAATGTCTTTCCGACCCTTCCTTTCCATTTTCTGGTGCTCACGCCTTCTGCCAAACTTCGAAGTGAAGGTTTGGTAGAGGAGTGTAGAGGGAGTCACATGCATCATGAGCATGTCATGCTACTATTGGTTAAGAGATAACGCATGATGATTTGCATGAGAGACATGTTGGAACATGATATTTCCAACAAAGAGGGATGCGCAAGGCTTGTAGCATGTATTATGAAAAGTTTGCATATAAAGGGCAGCACTGAACGAGAATAGCTGATCTTGTGAGGGGTGGGGGAAGTAACTATCAGAAATAAATTTTCAATGTAGGAAAATTATAACTTTCCTTGAAGAGATTAATTAATCTTGTTTGCTAATATTTTTAGTTCATTTAGATTTACAATTAGTAGAAAGTACTCAGAATAGATTGCACTGATGATAACAAAGGCAATGACATTCAATTAATTGGAAATGTGATCGATGTAGTTTTGTAAGTCAATCATGTTTTACATCTTGTAAATGAGGACATAGACTAGTTTCTTCAATTGTGTTCTTATCAATTTAATAAATCTTCATTAAGTTTAATTCTCTAGTTGCATTCTAATTATTTGAAACTTAGTGCAGAGACTTAAAATCTTAAGTTATTTTGTGGTCTACTTACAGGTAAAATTTTGTTTTGTTTTAGTCATATTAACAAAAGTGATGAGTTGTGTGGTTAATTTTAGTGATATTGATTGTTCTGATAGGTATTTGATGGTTTTTTATGTATAACCATGACATATATTTGTAATACTATATTCCCAATTTTATAATTGATAGTATAAGTTCGTAGTTTGAAATATAAAGTTATAGTTATTAATTGCAAACTTTACACAAGAAATTCTAAAAAAAATCTGATGAAAATTTTGAAGAAAATTCAAGAATTATTTTCTCCTAATAGTGTGTGATCCCTGGTCTTTAAAATTTTAAGTTGCCAGTAGCATTTTTTTCCATGTACCTAAAAATATAGGTATCATTCATTTTGTGGTTTGAAAAAGTTTTTGCCAAAACATTTATTTAACCATATTATCTTTTAATAGTATTCATAAAACTAGGATAAAAAAACTGTGATTAAGAAAACCAAATAACCCACTGTAAATATACCTCTAAAGAAGAAATGGTTAGTATCCTAAAGAACTAAGGTTGTTGGAATTTCTTTGATTTGTAAAACATAACTATGCTTGTGTGAATTTTATGTACTTATGTAATATTTTTTTAGTGAAAAACAAAATACTGTACAGAGCAGCAAACCTAATCATCATTCAGAAAAATGTTAGAATGTATCAAGCGAGGAAGAAATATCGACCAAGGTGAGAAACACAGGAAAGTTTTTCTAAGGGTAAATATGTATGAAATCTTCTGTACCTTGTCAGCCCTTAATAAAACACCTCGTCATATTTTCTGAGATTTAATCCTATTCAGAAAGCCACATTTATATACAGGTTTAAGCAAAATGTAACCATGGTTTGTAGCACTTGTTGTATCAAACTGTTGAACTAGAGTAATCATTATTTTTGTTTGTCACATTGGACTTAAAAGTACAACCTATGCTTTGAACCAAATATTTCAAACTTGGACTTATCCATCCATAACACCCTTTTTCAATCAACAGTCCAGTTTTGTACTTTTTAGTACATTTCAGTCTCTTGACAATATTTGGAGATCAAAGTAAAAGTATTTAAACTGCTACATGACCAAATATTCCATTCTCATTGAGTCTTCTTGATACTGTAGATCTGGACACTTTTCTGTCATTTGGTACATGGTCATTTATTTCATGCTTGAGATCAGTGGCAGTCTTCCTTCTGTCCTGAAGGCTGCATAAACAAAGATAGTTAACATCAGTATCATTAAGTTTAGATGTTCTGCCTCCTCCTTTCCTATTTTCAAACTTACCTGTCTTAGAGTGTACTTGACAATGTTTGGAGAGCATTTCAAGTCTGCAGCAATTTGTCGATAAGTCCAAACAGCATCATGTAACGCTTTGGTGAGAACTCTCTGCTCTACTGACAATTCTCTATGCTTTTTGGGGCTGTGACATGACAATAAAACTTAATATATAGTGTTAAACACTGTTTTTATCAAGGTTTATATGTGGAGTGCTGTTAATTTGATTTCTTCTGGCATATACCGGAACCATATACTAGTTTCTTTCTATGTAGTTAAGACACTGCATGAAGTACCATGACAGTTATTTCACACCCTAAATTTGATCAGTATGTTCATTCAAACAGAACACTTAAGCTATGCCCTTGGTACAAGTGTATGGGAATTCTAAAGAATGATAAATATTCTCACCCTGGTTCATTCAGTTGTCAACAGGGGTCAGTGAAGCATTACCATAGTGTTGAAATTTACATTCTGTAATGGCATGGAAGAATTAGCCCCATAAAATGGAAAGAATGACAAAATATTATCTTGTCCTAACACTTTTGCACAGTACTGTATAAATAACATTTTATTGTTCTATTGATTAACAAGATGTGAATAATATAGTATTTTTCTAAAATTAAATATGAAACCCAATCTATCTTTTGATTTAGTACTAGTCACTGAGTTATTCTGGTTTTGGGGAATTCTACCCTTCATTAGTAATACTGGATAAGGGCAAGTTAGAAAAACTAAACTACCTTCTTGTTTTTGAGGATTTTATATTATATGTTTGGCGTTGTTTCTTTGATTTGCTTTTGTCCAGAGTTACTAATTATGGGTAGAATATTCCTCTTAAGTGGTATACTTGGTGACAAGTGGTGAATCAATGATTGATTGAGTTTTATATATATATATATATATATTAGTACTTAAACAACCTGTTTGTTGAATAATTTATAAGAATAAATTAATAGCATCAATGCTACATTTTCTTAAAATCCTATATAAAAATAGGTTCACTGTGGTGAATAAAGTACAACTAAAGACACCATACATATTCTTTTGTTGAGTTTTGATATTTAAGCAGCTGCCTTCTCATCCAAGAATTTCTCCTTTATTACTTTCTTTCAGATTATAAAGTTTTGGTTGTAACATAAAATTTATTTGTACAGATACTTAGGAATCCTGAAGGTGAAATCCCTACAAGGCCAGCTTAAGCATATGTCAGCACTAGTCAACCAGATGAAATCAGACAAACAACAGTCATTGTCACAAGTACATGCACTTGAGTCAGAAATGTTGGAGTTCATTAAAAAACTGAAGGTAAACCCAATATTTAATTATTTCAATAGTACATGGAATTGTAGTTTGTTTTTCTCTCTTGAAGTCAATGCTTGCAGCTTATGGATATAAAATATTCGTCTGACTGATTTAAGGTTTACTCTTAACACTTAACTGAAATGACCGTTTACCAGACATTTGAGAATAGCATTATCACACGAGTAGTCTGATAAGTACAAAAAAAAAAGCAAATGATAAATGGAACAAACAGGTTATATAAATTTTTAGTCATTCAAGATAACTCTTTGAAGATGCTGTTGACTAGGTGAAAAGACATTCTTTCCAAGCCATGGAAAGGTTAATGTTGTCAACTTTTGATTGTTTAAAAAACTTAAAACATATTCCAGTAGCTGTGAAGGTGATAAGCAGTGTAATTTTTTTCTTGGTCTATGTTTTCTATTCATTCCTCAAATAGTGGGTGGAAAATGTAATATAAATATGTCAAGTATTGTGTAAAAGGGTTAAAGATAATGCCTAATTTGTTTAGTCTTTTTGAAAGCATAGCCAGAAATATATATATATATACCATCTACAATTTGTCACATAATTTTATTTCACAATTAGTATAATATATAAAATATAAATTAACATTTAAAAACATGAGATTTAAAATCCAATATGTTCCAAATGGTCTAAATTGTGTGAAAAAAATGTACATAGTGTACATTCTATTCACAATGTAATTCTTATAATAAGGTATACCCAAGAACATTAACAAGGTAGGTAAACATAAATTGTTGTTTTTAGGAAAGTAACATGTTAAGTTAAAAGAAAATAAAAATTACTTGTGAATGGATTTTGGCTTTAGACAACAGATATGAAGGAAGCTGAAATTCAGAAGAACTACACAAATATTATGAAAGCCATGGATAATACTTTAGTAACATTGAGAGGTAAGCTAGAAAAACAGAAGATTGCAGAAGAACAGAAGCGCTTACAAAAGATTCAAGAAGAGATGGAGAAAGAAAGAAAGAAGAAAGAGGAAGAAGAAAGAAAGAAACATGAAGAAGAAGAAATTAGAAGAAAGTGAGGAAACAAAAAACTTTATTATATAATCAATGAATATGAATTATATTTTTTGTAATAAAGTCACAGACTTCAAAAGAAATGTTTAAATATGGTACACTGATAACTTTTATGATGCTATGCTACATGTAAAAACCCAGTAATTGACTGAACATTAAAAATTTTATCTTTAATCATCATATAAGAACATGTGCCTCCAGAACAGTAAAAGCAACTTATTTTAAAGTGTAACTCCTGTTTATCCAGTTGAAAAAAAATGAGAAGCTTATTAAAATTAACACCCTTCTTTATCAATGCTTGTAATAAAAAGATTGCAGGTAATAACTTTGTTGCACACATCCAGTGGTATATATTTTTTAGTTAGAGTAAATTTATAAAGCCTTTTATTTTTACATTCTAATAATAAAATAACAGAAGGATGTAATTTGAATTTTGATTTTTTTAAAGATCTGGAGCATTTAAAACTTGTTGAAGATCATATTTTTAATAACTTCTGTGTAAACCATAAAGCACAAGTAAAGCTTGGACTTTAATATTTTGGTGCATTGAATAATAATAGAATACTTAGGTCAATTAATTAAGATTTTATATGTATATATATATATGATAGTAAGTTTTCACATATTAATAAACAGGAAAGCTGAACTGGAAGTGGAAAGAAAGGCTGAAGAAGAAAAGCGTAAAAAACAAGAAGAAGAAGACAGAAAACTTGCGGTAGGGGATGCAAAATGTAACATTTTTTTAACAAACATACTAAAAACACCATATAGAAATCTAAGAGGTGTTAATGTGCAATAGTAAATAGCTAATTTACAAAAACATTTATAAATGTTAAACTTGTCTTTTTTTATGAATGAACTGGCTTTGAAGACTTCTTTTGTGACTGACCTATTTGTCTCGCCTTGTTTCATTACCAGTGTTATGTAAGGTCATTTTGAACACAAAATTGCATTTCTATGTTAAAAATTTGATTACAGTATATAATTCTAAACTATTTCAATAATTTTGTGCCAGAAAATTTTGTAGAAATGATAGTTAAGTACATGTTGAGGCAAAAAAAATCATTTTAATATTACATACTCTGTATTACTTTTCTTTATATGATCACTTTAACTTAACAAAGACAGTTTATTCTAGTCTAATACTTCAATAAATGTATATTTTTCTGTATCTAAACTTTTCTTATATTTCAAACAACTTGCCCCACTGGTGGCTCAGCATTAAGTTTGAGGGCTAATAGCACTAATATTTGGGGTTTGATTCCTGCTTTAGGCACAATACAGAAAATACAGTGTGCAGCTTTGCTTTAAACCATAAACAACAGTTTTATACTGATCAGACCAGCATTCTTTTCTGTTAGTTGTTTTTGTCTGTTTCCACAGTTTATTAAATTTGAATAATTTTTCTTCTGTAATTGGACTTATACATATATGTAAAATTTTCTTATGCTGTTGACTTGATGCAGCAAGGTTACCTTTAAGTACTTGTTTACTGGTCTATACAAGCAATACCTTTTTTCTAAGATATGCTTGACTACTGCTTTAGGTTAAGCTAATCCCTTCAATAATACTTGAACACTGATAGTGTAGTAAATAAAATAATAACAAGCAATTTTTCTGTCAGATGTACACTAGAAATACCAGTGTTGATTATTTCTGTATGATCTAATAGTGATTTCTTTTATGTCTATAATGAAGGCACACAGTTATGGAAGTAAGTATCCTTTTCTTACAAGTTATGAATATGCCTTGGGATAAATATTATAATCCATTCATCTATACACCTGTAATTCTGTAAGATCCCCTAAGTATGATTTTTTTTCTAAGTAACTTCTGTAGAAACATTGCCAAGTTAAATAGTGCTAAGTATACATAAAATAAGATTGGAGTCAAATGTTTTTATTCAGCCTGAGATGTGAATGCAAGTGTGAGCCAGGCCTTTTAAAGAAAACTATGTTCAGTTTTGTTTTTCTTAATATTTAAAAGTATTGATATTATGTTACATAACAAATTTTCCATGATAAGATATTTGATAAGAATGGAATAGACCTCTACCGTTCAGTACAAAATAATAGACCCTTTCTTAGTGTGTGTATATAGTATTGGAAATAATGGGGAAAGAGAATATAAAGGGCAGATTCTTCAGGAATGCCACCCTGTTGTTATGTGAAAAAGAACTATCCCAAAGTAAAGTTACATGTTGATAGGTTACACTGTTATTGGTTGTTATCCAATCAATTACAAAGTCTATAAATGTACAGACATTCATACTATGCCCAGTAGTAGTAGTAGTGTGATTTCAGTCATAATTTCCAGGAGTGAAATACTACATTACATGTGTATAGAAATGAAAGTTTTGGTTAGTGAAGGCTACTCCATGTGACCAATTGCAGCAAGACTCCACGTTTCAGTATATATATATATATATATATACACAAGACTGAAGAGGGTACTTGGAACTGACACTATTAATAATAGAAGTGTTTGAGGTAGTAAACCAAAATTCTCCAAATTTATGTTAAATATCCATGGGTATGACAAGGTAGACAGTGGTTAAATACAGATCTTGCTGTAAATACAGGTGTGAATATTACATTGAGAACAGTAAGATACACACTAGCACATAGTGTTCTCGTTGGATATACAACAGTTAAAAAACCATTGCTGAGAAGAGATAACGAAACCAAAAGGTTGAAATGGGCATTGAACCACAAACTGTGGAATGAACAAAGATGGCAACATGTTCTCTTTACAGATGAATCCAAATTCAAGTTGTTCAGGAACAATCAATGACAGTGTGTTCCATAATGGAGAGGAGAATGGTATCAAAGTCAATGTACAGTATCTACAGTGGTGGATTGTTACAAGTTTGGGGTTCAATCTTAACTAAATGTTGGCAGTCTACACAAAATCCAATACACCAAGTACAAACAGATTCTGATCCATCATATCATTCCTTCAGGAACACAAGTCATCATGCTAGCATTTTTCTTCCAGCAAGTATCTGATATTATTGTTTATGAACTTGAATAACATTTTATATTTACTATTAGATAATGTAAAAAACTTAAGTAATGCAAATTGTTGAAACCATGATGCTCATGTCTCTTTATTATAGTTCTAACTTAGTAAGAAGTTATTCAAGTTTGTTATAAATTCTTCAACAAATAAATAACTGAGAAATTATCATAGTTTTCCTAAAGATGAAAGGATGATACTGTTAGATGAAGAAAGTCCATAAATTTGGAAAGAAAATTCACAGTGTTTATCAAAAATGAATATTTAAACTAAACTTTTTTTTTAGTTTTCATCTAAAATGTAGTAATAGTTTTGTGTGTCAAATATCTAGTATTTTCTATTTCAAGTTGAGCAGGATATATGGTAATTATTTAATTAGTACTTTGGTTATTAAAATCGAATAAGTCACTTATTGCCTATAAGTTAAAGTTCTAAAGTTAAAATGGTTTCAATAAAAAAATTCTAGCAAATAAAGATAGAAGTTTACACTATTAGGATAATAGTTAGCACTGTTGGAATATAATGTTATGTATGAAACTTTGAACACTTATGGCTGTTTAGATAATCAGTCTTTTAACAGTGGAGAGGATATGGATGTAGTATTTTCACTTTATAATAGACAACACATCAACTAATCAAACATTTTAATAATCTTCCAAATATTAATTAACTTGATTTTAATAAATCTTCTAAAGATTCTTTTATTCTACTCTCAAGTTTGACAGTATGTTGTGGTTTTCAAATAATTTGAGGACTGTGAATGTGTTACCAGTTATCACTACTTATTGGCCTATAGCTTCGTCTGAGAAAATAAATGTTTATATATATAAAATTGTAACTTTGTTATTTTGGAGAGTTTTATGTAACTGTCCTATTAGTACTATTTTATTGCCCTTTAAGATGTTTTGTTTTAGAGCTGAAGTTTATTAATGAGCTAAATCTTCTGGCCCATGTGAATATAAAAATTTTATTTGATCATGTGATTGACTATTATTTTGCAGTTGTATGACTTTCTCTAATTACCGCTAATGAGCATAAAACACATAAGCACTATGCAGCATTACATGCAAAAACAAGCAATGTACAGTTGATAGTAATATTTTCATAATAGTTCAAAAGATGTAAGTGTCTTGAAGGTAACTGATGCTTTGAGAATTAAAGAAAAAATTAATTTTGATGCATTATTAAGAACCAGTATAATAATACTTTTTGCATCTAAAGGCAAAAAGTGACATAAATATAATTTTTTTATCTTGTATTCCACCCTATTAACCAACATTTTAACTTTTTCTTTGTTGGGTGGCTAACTAAACAGTTATTGTATTACAGGTATTTTTATAATAATAAAAATATCACATATAAAAGTATTCTGTTATGAATTTTCAGTTATGAATATACACGTGCTATGTGTACTGTTTTTTTAATCAACAAAGCTTTTATGACAACATGTTTATAATGGTATTTAGTAAGGCAGGCATATCATATCAGGTATGTATTTAAATGTTACATCGTATCACTATCTAAAATTTATATTATATGTCCAAAGTAGTGTCTGTAGAGAGCACTTATTAATTATAGCATGGTTCCATTACCATACGGTAATAACGAACATCAGAAACCTTAAGGGTATAACAACAAAGCAGAATAAAAGTAAATGATAATATTAAAGGAAAATAACAGTGCAAGATTAAGCATTTGTATGAAGGAGTACAATCTTGTAGATTGCTAGAATGAAGAATACAAAATTAAACCTAAACATATAAAAAATAACTTAACAGTGGTTGTATAAGTACGTATGGAAATGCACTATGCTCTAAATATGTAATAAACTGCACATCTTAAGATAGCATGCAGATGTCATTATAAGTTATATTTGAAAATGCTTTCAATCTTTAATGACAAAGTAATTCCGTTTTTAAGTAAATATGCATAACAGACACAGTGGCAGATTATATTTAGATTTATAATGATCCTTGATGTTGTGAAAAAGTTTTAAATACTAGGTCTAGCAAAATCATTGTATGTTTAACTTTGTAAAGATTCTCTAAAGATGTTTCTGTACATCTCAAAGCACACTTAATGATAATTTTGTATAAGGTACTCTTCCTCTTCTCACTTTGTGCTGCCCTCTATATGCGAACTCTTTCAGAAATGCATGCCACCAGCCTTCATTCTTTCTCTGTTGGAACCAACACGTCTCTCGTACAAATCATCATGTGTCACCTCTCCACCAATAGGAGAGCACTACTATCATGTAATTCATGTTACTCCCTGTACACGCCACTACTGAACTATCACTTCTCATTTGGCAGCTGTTGAGTTCAGACGTTATTTTCTAAATTGTTCAGTTACCTTGAAGTGGTTTATTTTTTTTCATTTTTTATATTTTCTTAACTTTATTCACTACACATCACAGTTGTGGAGTTAATATTTTAATATAGCATTACTTCCTCGTGTTTCCCGCTTATGAATTCTAAAGTTACAGTTACCACTTTGGGTACTTTGCCAGCATCTGATGCCATATTTTCAGCCACAGACACGGCCACCCTTTGGAGGATATATCGTCCCTCATTCGCCATGAGATTGAGCAGTATATAAGCCAACCTTTGAGCCTTTTCAAGCTGTGCAAGTTTAAAGACGATTTTGCTCGTTTCTCTCTATCTCTTTACCCCCAGAGTTTGCTGCATCTTCCCATTT